CTTTTCCCTAAATTTTCTGGTGGTTTGTTTAACTTGGAACTATAACTGAATAATTGAGAAATATTCGGGTGCTGGAAGATATTAATCAAGAAGACCAACCTCCTTTCAGAAAATGACTTGAAATTAGAAGAAATGTCCTTTTCCTACAAGTAGTGCTGACATTTCAGAAAACGATTGTTTTGAAAGCCATTTAAGGTACAACTTTTCATTTTTAAAACAGGCAATTGCCAAGATTTCATTCATTTTCCTTCTTTCATGTCATGTACAACGAAACTGATCTATTGTTATTATTTATAAAGGGAAAGCACTGGATTGTTGTTGTTTTTTTTTTTTTATTTTTAATTTTGTTAGTCAAATGTGCCACAGATATGGGAGTATCCTGTTTCCAATCCCCCAACCATGATGAAGGCCTCTAGTACTACAACCAGCAGAAGGCTTGTTAGGCAAATGGGCAGGTCTGATTTCTTGAGTTAGTGAGGGAGAGAGATGGATTCTCTTGGATTTGGGGCAAGACGGGATATAGCTATATGTCCTTGCCTATTTTTGTTTTCTTATATTTGATGATGATGGTTATAAAATACAAAAACCTCCCCTCAAGTTTCTGATAATAATAAAAATCTTCTCTCTAGTTTACCTTTAGCAAAATCCTCTCTTCTACTTTCAAAAAAAGCGACAAAAACCTTCCATCCTTTAATAAACCTGACGGAAATCAAGAAAAACTACATTTTTATCCTCATACCGCACCTAAGCAATTTGCAAAATATCAATTTTACCTTTACTTGAAAAACTCACTGTCCTCTCTTGAGAAAAACAGTCGAACCCTAACCCTAACTGTTGCAAGCAGACAGTGCTCAGAATATTCCACTTCCCAGAATATTCCGGCAACGATTCTTCACCATACGATGGCCAGTTTCATCTTGTTGGCCGATTTCTTCATGAGAGTTCCTTTTCTTCTTCATGAGAGTTCGTTTTCTTCATCGGACATTTGTGGCTTTCCAAACATTTCGGCGACTATTCTTCTTCGGACGACATCTGTGTTTTCCATAATAGGTTCATTTTTTGAATCTGTTCCATAAGCAAGTTCATTTTTTGAATTTGTGCAGCATGTGTTTGTTCAGGTGTTCCATAACAGGTTTTGTACATGGATTTCCATTGTTCTCGCAAATAGTAGGGTCAGGTCCAATTGCTTTACTAGACAATGTAAATGAGATATGTCAGGTGTTGAGTGATTTCCGTTGCATTCATCATGACCTTGAATCTGCACTTGAACGTTTCTCAGGCAAGATTTCTACTAATTTGGTTGAACAGGTGTTGAAAAGGTGTAAAAATCTAGGGATTTCTGTTCGCAGGTTCTTTCTCTAGGCCTGAAATTTGTTGGGTTTCAGTCATAGCAGGGAAAGCTACCATATTCTAGTAGATATCCTTGGATGCAACAAGCAATTCCCTCTGATATGGGATTTTCTTTCTGAGATGAAAGATAGTGGGGATTATGTAATTGGGCATTTTGGTCAATAAAAATTAATTCTATGGCCAACAGAGCACAATCTTTGCTTAGTATTTGGAATAAGCTAGAATGGATTTTCATTCCCAAGGAGGAAATGGGAATGGCCCATTCCGATTCTAAACCCCATTTTTACAAGCCAAATGGATCTTTAATTCTTAACTTTCAATTACATTTGGATTGAAGACCTCATTGCTGATATGAATTCTTAGGATTTGAACATGGAGTTAATTGAGCAGCCGACCTATTTTTTTTAATAAATAAAAAATAATTTATTAAAGAGAAAAAGAGAATGATTACAATAGAGTCCCAGAGGGAGGGACCTGGAACAGAAGCTACATAACACAACTCAAAATAAGGAATGAAATCAACAAATAAACATGAGACGAGCTTATTAGAACAACCAAAAAACAAAGACGTTGAAAAAACTGAGCAACAATGATAACAATTCTGTTTCCTTGAGCAACCTAGCTCCCAAACACAAAGCCCTCGCATCTAGGCATGTCAAACTCAGGAGAAACAACCTCTGTCCATGTGTGAAGCTATCTCGACACCCGGCCTCTCCCTCTAGTTTCCTTTGCCTTTCTCAAATCTGCCCTCATTGAAACGTCTACATAAAAATCTACCAATATCCTCAGTTTTCTGCTGCCAGGGGGTCCCTAACTTGAGCTCATCGTCCACTACTTCTTCAAGAGAAAAATTGCTCTCTAACTCTTCTTATCAAAGACTGTTCTCTCTCTCTCTCTCTCTCTCTCTCTCAGGATTGAGCCAATTAAGAAACCAAGAACAGAGATATGGAAGATAGGATTGTGTGACCGAACCAAGAAAAGAGATCACACGGTTTTACATTTTTTCCCATGCGACACTATAAGAAGTTAAGCGACTCTAACCTAAATCCGACAAAAATTTTTGGCTTTGCAGTTCCTTGGTTTTGTTGCTGACCGAGAAATCCTTCTTCTAGGTTCACTATTCTTCTTCCTGGTTCGTTCTCCAGTTGCCCTCTTCCTTTGTTCCTTCCTCACCCATTCTTGAGGATAATAAAAAAATACAAAGGGTATTTTAGTAAACAGATGTACAAAATAACTCGTACAGGATTAAAATGGGTATTTTAAAAAATTAGCATCGATTTAATGATTTCTGTTAGACTCATTAACGGAAGGGAGGTTTTTGTCACTTTTTTTGAAAGTAGAAGGAAGGATTTGATTAAAGGTATACTAAAGGGAAGGTTTTTATTATTGTCAGAAACTTGAGAGGAGGTTTTTGTATTTAATTTTAGTGGCCGCTCTCTCCCTGAAATAAAATTTAGTATAGAAAAAATTAATGAACTGTAAAGTGGCCATGATTTACAAAGGATCGAGTAGTCATGATTTTCAATTCAAACAAAACTTATGCCCAGTCACATTCCGTGCATTGTCAACTCACCCAATACGGGCCCATTTTCACAAGAACCACATTGCGAAGTTTCTAGGAATGCAACTTGGTACCGGAGTTGAGGCTTTTACATTGAATTGGGTCCGTCCATTCAAAATTTAATTCTGGCTCAGGAGTACAAATATAAATACATCCAAAATAATATAAAAATAAGATTTTACATTCTACATATTTGTATTTATATTCCTTTCAAACGGAGCTAAGGCTCAATTTAGGAAGGTTATCTTTGCACTGAACGTGTATTAGTTGAGGGTTTTACATTGAATTGGGCCCGTCCATTCAAAATTTAATGAAGGCTCAGTTTGGGAAAAGTAGAGTGAAAATACAAGGTTTTGCATTACACTCTTCCCAAACTAAGCTTAATTAAGTTCAGTCAGTCCAAGTTGCAACCCTATGCATCAAAAGAAACATGGGGAAAGCTCTTTACAGACTACAGTTGGAACTGACACCCCACTCCCAACCGGATGGGGTTTGCCCTGACCGGGCCTTAGACTTAATTGATGGTCTCGGGCCGGGCTGGGATGAATACTTACAAAGTTTGGCTCTAAGTTGTTACTCGATCGATCACGACTCGATGGGACTGACTGAATAGTTAATTGGCCGACCTCCTCACCAGTCACCACGGAATACAGATAAAAATGTACATTAACAACACACTGGTTTTCCATCTGATTTCATTAGTTCCTTTCTAACACATAAGAATGAGAGCATGTATACAGAATCAAATAGAGTAAGTAAATATTTTGAAGTTTTTTAATTAATTCCACGTTAAACAAATTGCCAACTGATGGTGGTTCGGTAGGTTCGCCGACTTAATTGGTATCAAATCCCATTGCCACATCGGCAATTTGTTTAGTCTTGAAAAACAAAATCATACATATTAATTAGGAAATACCCTCTAAAGTCTAAATCTGTGTTTGTTTCAGAAAAAAAAAAATTAGACTGAAATATATTTTCGTTCCTTTTATTCTACCTAATTAAGATGAACATGTGTTTTTCGTTGCCGCTCCATTAAAACAACTTTGTTTTTTGGTAAAACATTAAAACAAGTCATCAAAAGGGGCTGAAAATTAACAATGTTTTTGCTACAAAAAAGGTGGAAATAATCAGAAATACTTCAACCGCCTAGATAATTTTATGAGCATTTTATACATAGAAGAAACCAATGGATTAGAATAGCAGATCATAAAATGGAGAATTTTCTTATTTATTTTTAACAAAGGCAGGGAAAACTGAAAGGCTGGGTTGGGGAATGGTGCAAAGCTAAATATTTTCAGTGCAAAACTTTGTAAGAACTGAGCCCCAAAGGATTTTTTATTTTCATAAAAAAATCCCGGAATTATTATTAGTAAGAACAGAGACGAGAAAAGGTTCAACGTTACCATAATATATAAGAAAACGATGTAGCAATTTTTTAATAATATTAGTTTGGAAAACGTAACTTTAATTTAATAACTTGGGTACAAAGGAAAATATACGGCCAATCAGAGAGGAGTCCAAAAAGAAATGAACACGGTCGGCCGGCCGGGAGTAGGAATTCCCTTGAGAAGACAGTAAAGGAGAGAACTGAGAACACGTTGGCCACCTACGACAAGGACCGACATGCCACAGTTTCCCTTCGAAGAACCATATTCCTTCTCCTCACTTGGGCCACTTGGGGCTGCTAAATTTCTAAAATGCAGCTTGTTTCATTTCGTTCGTTATATATCTTTCATGAAGTTGTGATTTAATTAGTTAAAGGATACCTTCATAAGCTAGCTACTTAATTCTTGACTATATAATTAATATGAAAAAGAAAGCTTTGTTTTGCTTTATAAACACTCTAAAATTCAACTCGACCAACATCTAAGTGGACGGGCAGTGTGTGGCCATCCGCCATCCCGAACTGGAGAATGGGCCACATTAAAGAGCGTTCCTTTTCTCTATTATTTAGTCTCCTCACCTAATTAATCAACCAAAACCCAAATGGCCCTCTCTCTCTCTCTCTCTCTCTCTCTCATATATATATATATATATATGCTGAACCGAACAAGGGTTTTATGACTCTACCCAACGGCTGCGACTTCTTTCACTTCGAGAGAGAGAGAGAGATGTGTGCTTCTCATCTTCCTTCACCTGCTTCCACAAGTTCTCTTCTATTGACATTGAGCACATTCTGGTTCTCGGCGCTGCTCGTACAGGCCAGCATTACAAGGCACTACAAATTCGATGTGCGCTTACAATGCTTGTTGATCCACTACACTTAATATATATAAGCTATTTTTATTCAAACAATAAAGGCAAAGAAACTAATATTGAATTTCGAATTTGATTGGTGATTATTGCTTGCTAATTTAACTTTGAGTTGTTGTTGCAGATCAGGCTACAAAATGTAACAAGATTGTGCCAAACCAAGAGCATTGCAACTGTCAACGGACAGTTCCCAGGGCCAAGGATCGTGGCAAGGGAAGGAGATCGGGTGGTTGTTAAGGTGATTAACCATGTTCAGCACAACGTAACCCTGCACTGGTATGGAGTCCTCCTTCACGACTTAACGTCAGTGATTATTGCTAGCTATCTGTTTGGGTTTCATACAGCAAGTGGAAGTGGCCTGATCAATATGAATACTGTTGTTGGTTTTGATCAGACTCATCTTCATCGTTAGTTAACTTATCACCTTTGGGAACAGGCATGGAATTCGACAGCTTCAAAGCGGATGGGCAGACGGACCGGCATATGTGACCCAATGTCCTATACAAACTGGGCAGGCCTATGTATACAACTTCACCATTTCTGGGCAGACAGGGACGTTATTCTGGCACGCCCACATCTCCTGGCTAAGGGCCACTCTTTATGGACCCATCATCATCCTTCCCAAGCCCAATGCCTCTTACCCGTTCCCCAAGCCCTACAAGGAAGTCACCATGATCTTCGGTATCTTATAATTAATTAGGTTACCTGATTGATGGTCTTCTAGGATTAATTCTAATATATCCTAACGACTGAGCAAATTAAGCATGCATATATGTATATATGACATATATATTTGAATTGCCAGGAGAATGGTGGAACGCCGACCCTGAGGCTGTGATAACACAAGCTTTGCAAACTGGAGGCGGTCCCAATGTCTCCGATGCTTACACCATCAATGGACTCCCCGGGCCCTTTTACAACTGCTCTGCTAGAGGTATATCAACCACGCATCCATTTTCAGTTCTCCACTCCAGAGAGAATAAGAGATAGCCACCGTTTATATTAGCAGCAGCTGCGATCGGTTTCCCGATTATATATCACTAGTACTAGTGCTTTGCTTTTCTGTTAATTGGCTGCAGATACGTTCAAGTTGAAGGTAAAGCCAGGCGGGAAGATTTACCTCCTCCGTTTGATCAATGCCGCACTTAATGACGAGCTCTTCTTCAGCATCGCCAACCATTCTCTTACCGTCGTTGAGGCCGACGCCGTCTATGTGAAGCCCTTTGACACAGACAATCTTGTCATCACCCCTGGCCAGACCACTAACGTCCTTGTCAAAACCAAACCACACTTCCCCAGTGCTACTTTCCTTATGGCTGCCAGGCCATACTTCAGTGGCCTTGGCACCTTCGACAACTCCACCACCGCAGGAATCCTTGAATACCAGAAACCATCTTATAATTCATCCGTTTCCATTAACAACAAACAGCTCCCCCTCTTCCAACCAACCCTTCCTGCCATCACAGACACTTCTGTGGTTTCCAATTTCACTAATAGATTCCGCAGCTTGGCCACTGCTCAATTCCCTGCTAACGTACCCCAGAGTGTTGATAAGCGCTTCTTCTTCACAGTGGGAATCGGGTCAATTCCATGTCCTCAGAATCAGACCTGCCAAGGTCCCAATGGGATCAAGTTAGCAGGTTACGTTAACAATATCTCATTTGTACTTCCCACCACAGCTATCCTTGAAGCCCATTTCCTTGGGCAATCAAAGGGTGTGTACACCACAGATTTCCCCACAAATCCGCCTTTCCCCTTCAACTACACAGGCACCCCACCAAACAACACAATGGTGACCACCGGTACCAAGGCTGCGGTGTTGCCCTTCAACACCAGCGTGGAGCTAGTGATGCAGGGCACCAGCACTCTGGGTACCGAGAACCACCCTCTCCACCTACATGGCTTCAACTTCTTTGTCGTCGGCCAAGGCTTCGGCAACTTCGATCCTAATAAAGACCCACCCAATTTCAATCTCGTTGATCCTATCGAAAGGAACACCGTTGGCGTGCCAGCTGGGGGTTGGATCGCCATTCGCTTCTTGGCAGACAATCCAGGTACGTACGTACACGGTACACGCACGCAAAACCTAAACTAATTAACATGAATCATCCATCATAATCATACTGGCAAAAGTAGAATATGCATGATCACTATATATATTATGGTAATGGTTGGATTAAGGATTAATTAACCCATTTGTCGTCGGAGGGATGGAGTAAAGGGATTAATTAAGCTTAAGCCACTTCTCCAATGTAAATCAAATGTGATTTGATTGATTAATTACCTGAGTTGGATGATTACAATTGTCAACAGGGGCTTGGTTTATGCACTGCCACTTCGAAGCACACACCAGCTGGGGCTTGAGGATGGTCTGGATAGTGTTAGATGGCAAGCTTCCCAATAAAAAGTTGCCACCTCCACCGTCGGATCTTCCAAAGTGTTGATTATTTTTCCAGTGTTACGTTGTCAGGCTTCTTTTTCTCCTTGGTTTTTTTTTCTTTATCAAATATATAATTTATGATATTCTTTGCTTTGTGGCTGATGGGGATTGGAGAGGCTCTCTCAAGAGTCAAGACCCACCACACAATAACCAATGTTTTGCTTTGGGCTATAGAGAGCAGCAGCTTTGGAGTCTACTCCATAAATGTGATATTGCAATACTCACAATATATATAATATTCCACCGGCAAATGCAATCAGCATTAATTTTAGAAAAAATTCCTGATATATCCTGTATTTAGGTCGAGTGTTAATTTAGTACCTATACTTTAAATCATATCATGATAATTTAATACTTAAACTTTCAATTTGAGACAATTTAATACCCAACGTTAAATTTCCGTACATTAAAGAATAAAAAGTCTTAAATACCCCTGTGCTATTTCGACCTATTAAAATTATTAAACTAATCCATCGACCCACTTCCCGTTACTTTTACATGTTTCCCCAAAACAGACGTATTAGCAGAAAATTTTCTATCCCTAGCGGAACAGACGAAGCGAGCTCTCCCCCTTTTCCATTGAAGTTGGACAATCTCTGCAACCGTTGTAGGATTTGGTGGGGCATCAAACAAATCACGACAAATCAACAACGAGGGTTAAGTTCTCGGTTTTTCCTTTGGGAACTTGAAAAGTTTTAAAAGTACACTGCAGTCTGTCAACGGTTATCTCCGTCTCTTTACTGTCTACACTCTTCTCAGAGTTCAGACTCGCCTATCCTTGCCGAATAAGCAAGAATGGAGCATTCTACGGAGAAATCCGACGACAGAAGAGATGGCCACCGGCAACAAGAAGTGGAGGTGTCACCGTCGTTGTCGTGTTTGCTCACTCTGCCGCTTGGGGAATCGGTTTCGACCTTCAGTCTGGAGAAAGCCGTCTGCAGCCATGGGCTGTTCATGATGGCACCGAACCAGTGGGACCCATCGACTAAGACCTTCCAACGCCCCTTGCGACTCTCTGATGAAACCACTGCCATCCTAGTCCGCATCTCCCATCCCCCAATTCCCCTTCTCTCCATGTCCGCGTTCTCGGCACCGCTTCCCTCTCTCCCGACGATCAACGAGTTCTGTTGGTACTCAACCATCTACCTACTTTCAGTGTTTGCTCTTCTTTCTCTTCATTCAGTTTATTAGGGTGTGATTGTTAATTTCAGGCTCAGGTAACCCGAATGCTGCGATTATCGGACAGTGATGAAAGGAATATAAGAGAATTTCACAAGATCCACCATGAAGCCAAGGAAAGGGGTTTTGGCCGAGTTTTTCGATCCCCGACACAGCGACCTGTGTAGCAGCTGGATGATATCGGGGGGTGTTGAAGCGATGCATGAAACGCCAAAAAGCGACCTGTGCTTTTTTGTTCGTTCAACCCGGAATGATTTTTGTAAAGGGTATTTTTGATATTTAAAATTTTTTAATTTGCATGTGAGCTTCTAACTAACGGAAATCTACGTCGGTATCAAATTATGATAAATTAAAAATTCAGGTATCAAATTATTTCAAATTGAAAATTCGAATATTAAATTATCACGATTTAAAGTAGGGTACTAAATTGGCATTCGACTTAAAAGCAGAGGATATCTATCGAAAATTTAAAATTACCTGGGTTATTGATCAGTTTTTAGCTGCCAAATACGTACTGAACCTTTTTTAGCTAGGTTTGTTTTTTTATTGGATGTAGTTGAATGGCAAGTGCAATTGTAAGCGTTAGAGGTCATCTTAAGGAGAGAATGGAAAATATAGGAGCGTATCTATGTAGATTTGAACTCCGTGCGAGACATTTTGGTCAACATGCATGGGAAAAAAGGACATAAGGGCTGCTGATTTTCACGGATTCACCTTGCCACATGACTCATGAGACCAAAATCAAGATTTGGTGTGATTGGTAGAGACAACAGGGGAAATGCTATATCGGTTCATTTTGGTATATCGAACTAGCTAGGATGCTCTTTTTTGGTGTCAGGACATCTTAATTTGATGCATGCTAAGGATATATATTGGGTTCTGTTTTGTAAATAGATCAGTTAATATTGTAGCCCATGAATCTGCTAAAAGGGGGCTGGTTGAGTACTCTAGTTTCTTAATTTGTTCTCAACTTTCAAGCTGGGTGGAGGATCTGGCTAATTAGCCGTGATTCTCTTCGTTGTTGTGAAATTGTACAAATAGAAGGGTATTATATATGTATATAAAATTCAAATATTGACCAAATTAAAATTGGACGTTAAACTCTCTTTTACAGAAATGTTGTTTGGTTCTTTAGGCGTTTATTGAAAAAATACTGTCATATTAGCGCTACATAGGTGTTGGTGTTTATTACATATAAAACCACTGTTTGATTTCACTGTTTATCAAATAAACACTAAAAAACTAAAATGCGTTGATTTATGTGCATGAAGCATTTGGGGAAACGTCAAATTCATATTTCTCCAATGCCTTGGAATTTCTTGAAATGAAATGCTGATGTGGCATTTTATATGAAGTGGAAAGCAACTTTACGAGTGTTACTTGAAACGCCCATAAAATGTCCAATCTAATAGAAAAATCAAAAAGTATTTAAAATAACATTTATTTGAAGAAACGCTTCTTAGAAAACACTCAGAAAATCAAACATATGCTATATAATGCCAGGAAGACATGATATCTAAAAGACTTAGGCTGTATATAGTTCCGTGGGTATTTATTGAAAAAACATCGCCACATCAGTGCCACATAGACATTGGTGTTTAATGCATATGAAGCAAAATGAAACAATTGTTTGGTTTCACCATTTTCTTGTTTCCCCCAATGCCCCAACGTTTCTTGAGACCAAATGTTGATGTGACACACTTTAATGGGTATTAATTTGATCGAGGTGGAGAGTAAAAAACATTTAAAGTGAAGCCCAACCAAACAACAAAAACAAGAAACGTTTAAATTGAAAAATATAAATAAACATTTAAAGTGAAAAAATACAAATAAATGGCCTATCCATAAACGCTCACCAAACAAAATGCATACTTAGTATGTGTTTGGTTCCATTTATATTTATTGAATAAACATTTGTACTTTATTTGCTGGTAAAACCGAGAAAAGCAATAATTACAATTGTTTATGACAACTAAGCGCCACTAGGCACCACCAGGCTCCATACCAACGTAACAATGAAAAAATGTCTGACCGTTTGTAGAAGATTTAAAAAATAACTTCCACAAATGGCTGACATGCACATAAACCAAAATTGACTTTTTCATTTTCGATGCATGTAGAAGAACAAGAGAAAAAATGTTGAGTGGCACCTATTTGACACTCTCAATAAACACGTAAGTGAAACCAAACACCCTCTTACTAATTAATCAACTGGCAACATAAAAATGGCAACCAATCAGTCAGCCTTTTCCATTTCATGTCTTTTCTGACATTATAGATTTTTTTTATTTATAAAGAGAAGCTAATATTGCTTCTTGGGCCCATGTCGCTTTGTAGGCCTAGATCCGATCCAGTTGGCTTACATTGGGATTTGGGACCAAGAAGTGGGCGAAGGTGGGGCAGATAGCGTCAGCAACTGGACAAACAGTGGGAATAAAGGTGAAACTCAGGCATTAGTTCCTGTAGTTTTGATTTGGGATCATTTGATGGCTGTTGTTGAACCTGAGTATTAATATATAGGATAAGAAATTTGACAAATTTAATATTATCAAAGAGGATTGCAAAGAAACTTGTTGGGGTTTCTCTATTTTTTCATTTTTTTTCCTACTTTACCAAACACATCCTTACATGACAAGGCTTTAATACGAGATGACAAAGCTTTAATATGGGAGGACTTCTTGGAAGCACGAAATTAATTAAGGAAGTCTAGTAGACTTCTACGTGGATTACTCGGTGCATGCTGAGAGAAGAAGTCTATCAAGAAAGGAGGGCATATGTGAGCAGAGTTTGAGTGTTAGCTTGCTCAGTTTTTTACTAGCATGGTATTATCCAGCTTCTTTTATGTTATTTGGTTTACTGGGTAGGACCGGAGTTGGCTTAAGTGGGCTTGGATCTGCTACCCACTAGCTGTTCCCATATCTCTATCCACCAGAGATTACAACCATTGGGAATATCTCCCGGGTGGTGCTCTGTGGGTAGGGATGTTGGAAGTTGGAGCAATTTGTGCGTAGCAGGTCTCGAGTGTAGTGGTCTTTGGATTTGGATATGCTGTATCTTGAATGTCCTATTCTTTTTTTCTCTTTAAAAAAAATTATATATATATATATATATATATATTGCTTCTTTTATAATTAAAATTGGTCTAACCATAAGGAAAACCATTATATTATTTTTCAAAAAAAATTCGGTGCTGTGATCTTCATTATCTGTATTTAAGACTTTAAAGTGAAGTGATCAATAGGGTCTGGATATTTCTCTCTCCAAACTCTTAGCTGAGGTAGCCTTCGCTGATATGGTGAGAATAAGATGAGATTAACCCCAAGAAACAAAATGCATATCTTTAACACTCTTTGTAGGATCAATCCAACAATTGGTGATAATGTTTGAAACACAGGAGTGGTGGAAAAGAGGTCCCCCATTGGTCTTATATTAAATTTCAGTCAAAGGCATCTACGACCAGTGATACACAGACCTAAGGCTTGTGGGATCCAACATCTATGTTGGTTTTTAATTGATTTGGGAAACTAAATTAGATTAATCCCACTCCTTGAATAGTGATTTTTTTTTTATTTGATTTGCAACTAATTGTAGACCCACCATCCACACGATAAGTGTCAAAACTCCAATGTTCTCCAGATTCGGATTTCGGACTTGTCTCTTCTTCCCAAAGAAGCCGATTATTTATTTATTTAAGAGAAGGATGGGTATTAATTATTAGAAAAGCTATTCATTAGATGATGGATCAGGATCAGCCTCATCAAAAATCACAAAGAAAGAAGAAGAGATAAGGATGATTGCCTTCCAACCAAAGAAATTGTTAATCATAGTATTCTGAAAATTGCTGGTTGGAATGGAACACTAATCAAACCGTTTGGATCATCTAATGCACATGATTTTTGGGTTTTGTTTATTCTTGAATACTCACAAAAATTTAGACGCGATTTTTTTTACTACACAGCGGTGGAGCTGCCACTGGATCGGGTCTATCTATCAGTCCCAAACCGATTATTAATCGGTTTAATATGACAGATTCATAACTGTTCCATTTATTAATTGGAACATTGCTAAAATCTCCTCTGAAGATTGGTAATTGCAATTACTTCTTTTGAATTTTTTGATACAGTTGCAAGTAAATTCCTTTTGTTAAAATCTTCGCATGAAAATGTCCAAAATATTGATGCAATCACTATTTCGATTCAATGGCTTAAACAAGTAGATGTTCTCAGTCTTTTTCCTTCTAGTTAAATTGATACTACCGGTCAGCCAAAGAAAAAGAAAAGATATTAGCACTGGTAATTCTTGTCCCAACACCCCTAAGACTACGTTACCTTAAAGAGAAAAGATTTTAAAGTTTTGTCAAATAGTTCGTAGAAGTGTTTGGTTGGTCTAAGGGTGGAAGCAACAATGAGATTTTATTGATTTCAAAAGCTTTACCTTAATATAGTGCTTACTTTTTCTTGTAAACAATCGAGTGCAAACTGCAGAATGCAAAATGGGTGGATCAGCCCCCTCTAAGTATCGCTTTATTTTTTTAATCTTTGGTTTTTTTTACCTATCAATCAGCCCTCAGAAAACATGCATTACCAATCAATCAATCACTTTCTTATGTTCTCTTGACAAACAAACAGTGCCTAAAAGCCTAAGGGACTTTGTATATGAGCCCAGAAATCTTTTCTACATAGGCCTGGGTTACAGAATGGGCCCAGTTTCATTTGAGAAGCGCTAAGCCTATTGATCCGTGTATCTGGGGTTTGGACTTTGGAGGGAGGAGATGGCATTATTGGTAAGTTAGGGTTTTTTCTCTAGATGATCATTCCTATTATAAATACCATGTGGGGACAATCCATCGATGATCAGATGGGGGACCCTTTAGATTATATACAGCCTATCTGCTCTCTGTTAAGAGTTTTTCCTGAATAATGCTATATTTTTGTTAGAGCCATAGTGATAATTAGAAGGGATTCGTGCGATGCATGGGTCTTTGTTAAGTAAAAGCTAAATAATAAAAATACATAAGAATATATAATTGTTTTACATTTTAATGTTTTATTTTTTTTAATAACCAATCCAATTGAACTTGACGTACGTTGATCGGTTTCTTAGTAATTCCGATCAGCTTTGGTCCAGCAAATTTTTAACCCGACCAAGCTAGGTCAGTTTCAGTTTGGCATTTGTAAACTGACTAAAGCTGAACCTACCAGACCATATATATATATATATACATATATAATATTTTATATTTTAAATATAATTTTTTAATACAGAAAAGTGGGAAAATTCCTATATTTCTTAGTTTAAAATATTTTATATCATAAATTTAATTTTTAATAATACCAT